GATGCAGTCTTGCTCTGTCACCCAGGCTGGAGTGCAGTGGTGCAATCTCAGCTCACTGCAACCTCTGCCCTACTAGGTTTAAGCAGTTCTCCTGCCTCTGCCTCCAGAGTAGCTGGGATTACAGGTACTCGCCACCATGCCTGGGTAGTTTTTGTATTTTTAGTAGAGATGGGGTTTCACCATGTTGACCAGGCTGGTCTTGAACTCCTGACCTCATGATCTGCCTGCCTCAGCCTCCCAAAGTACTGGGATTACAGGCGTGAGCCACCACACCCGTCCATCTTTGTCTGGTTTTTACTTTTTGTTTATTTCTTCATTTATTTTTATCCTGTTTAGAGCTCATTTAAAGCTTCTTGAGTCTGTGGGTTTATAGGTCTTATTAAATGTGGGAAACTTTTTTGGTTGTTATTGTCTCACATTTTTTCTGTCTTTCCCTCGTGTCTCCCTCTGACAGTTTATTACAGGGATGTTAATTACTTGATATTATCTCTTAAGTCATTGAGGGCCTTTTCATTTGTTTTCCAGGCTTATTTCTCTTGGTACTTCATTTTGGATAGATTCTACTGCTCTGTTTTCAAGTTCAGTTGTCTTTTCTTCTGCTATGTCCAATCTTCTGTAAATCTCATTCAATAAAATGTTTATTTCCCATATTGCATATTTCATCTCTAGCAGTTCTATTTTGTTCTTTTAAAATATCTTCCAGTTCTCTATATGAATGATATCTCAGTAAGGTTATTAAAAAGAAATCCTTTTGCTCCTCATTTTGCTCATGTTTTCCTTTACATTCTCGATTATGTGGAGCATATTTATAAATTGTGTTTTCTTGTTTTTATATGCTAATTGATTGCATCATCTCTATGATTTCTGGGTCTGCATCCCTGGACAGATTTTCCCTACTTTTGCATGTCTAGTAACTAATTAGTTGGATCATGGATATGCTGAATTCTGTGTTGTCTGCTGCTGGAGTTTGTATTTCTTTGGAGTGTTGGACTCTGATCTGGCAAGCAGTTAAATTCCTTTGAATCACCTTTATCTTTTTAAGGATTATTTTTAAACTTCAGTAGAGAAGGCCTATAGTGCTCTTACTCTAGGGCTACTTTAGTCACATGCCTAAGGCGTGACTTTTTTATAGTTGGAAAGAGATACATAGTAGCAGTAGCAAACCATTATATTGTATTTCCACAATACAGAGACAGTAGACATTAGTAACGTGAAGAATATAAATACAGTCATATGCTGCCTAATGACAGTCAGTGAGGGACCACCTCTACAACATGAATCTTTTAAGATTATAGTAAGTATTTTTACTGTACTATTTCTATGTTTAAATATGTTTAGATACACAGATACTTGCCATTGTGTTACAGTTGTCTCTAGTATTCGGTACAGTAACATGCTGTCCAGGTTTATAGCCTGGGAACAATAAACTATACCATGTAGCCTAGGTTTGTAGGAGGCTATACCATCTAGGTTTGTGTAAGCATACTCTCTGATGTGCACACGATGATGAAATCACCTAATGACACATTCTTTATAACATATGCCCATCATTAAATGATGCAAGACTGTCATGGACGACTGTACTAAGTTTTAGGAAGTAACTAAGTATTTATTATTCAACCAGTAGCATCTGCCAGCCATAAGAGTCCCTGATTATTTCATCTCTGTTTTTAACACTTTTGTTTTAAATACTGTCCAATAAAATATAGAGAGAAATCTCTAAATTTCAAATATTTGATTAGGGGCCAGGTGCGGTGGCTCATGCCTTTAATCCCAGCACTTTGGGAGGCCCGAGGCAGGCTGATCACCTGAGTTCAGGAGTTTGAGACCAGCCTGGCCAACATGGTGAAACTCCACCTCTACTAAAAATATAAAAATTAGCCAAGTGTGGTGGCACATGCCTGTAATCCCAGGTACTCAGGAGGCTGAGGCAGGAGAATCACTTGAACCCATGAGGTAGAGGTTGCATTAAGCTGAGATTGCGCTGTTGCATTTTAGGCTGTGCGACAGAGTGAGACTCTGTCTCAAAAAAAAAAAAAAAAAAATTTTATTTGGGATGCAGGAGTTGCAGTTTGGGACATACACACATGCCAGGTGGTCTTTGGTATGTTTGAAGGACAAAGAAAAAATTGGAGCTTTTATTAAAAAGGAGAAGTGAGCCAGGATCAGTGGCTCACGCCTGTACTCCCAACGTTTTGGGAGGCCAAAGCAGGAGGATTATTTGAGCTCAGGAGTTGGAGACCAGCCTGGCCAACATAGGGAGACCCCATCTATATAAAAAATTTTAAAATTAGTTGGGCATGGTGGCACTTGCCTGTAGTCTTAGCTACTCAGGAAGCTGAGGTGGGAGGATCTTTTGAGCCTGGTACGTCAAGATTGCAGTGAACCTTGATGGCATGCACTCCAGCTTGGGTGACAGAGTGAGACACTGTCTCAAAAAAAAAAAAAAGAAAGAAAAAGAAAATGTATTGTTTTGAAAGAAGGTTCATTGGTACTAGGAAAATTTGGAGGAACTGGCGAACTGATTGGTGAATGACCGCAAGAGGTAAAATCAATCTTAGAGTCACAGCAGGTTATTTTAGCAGCTGTCGGGTAAAATTGGTTTCAGGTTACAATAGGCAGTTTTAGCAGATAGGCTTGCAGAGAATTACATTTTTGGACCAATGATATATGCTCTCAATGCTTTTTCCCCTGGCCTCTCTACTCTGTTTTGAGTATGACAAGAATGACCCAATTCATATGATAAACTTTCACAATATTTTTTTTTTCCCCCGACAAATACAACTCCAAGATCTTCACCCCACCTCCATTCCAGGCAAAGTTATTTATTTATTTATTTATTTATGTATGTCTGTAGGAGGGAAGTCTTTGTATAAGATACACACTTATAGTATGCATTTGAAGAGTGATAAAAATATACATTTTGAAAAAGAGAATAATAGTAAACAAGGTGAATGTGCATTTGAGAAAAGAGTCAAATTTACATTTTTGTAGCTAGAAAATTTATAGGAGACGTAATGAAAGCCTGTGAAGAGGTTTAAATATAAATAGGGGAAAAATTTGAGCTTTTAGAAATGAACAAAGCATAACTCTTGCCCTCAGAGTGTTTTGCTTTAGTAGGGAAGGTGAGAGGTGATAAATGTGGGCAGTCGCAGTTCCTTTGTATTTAGTAGCACCAACCTAATAGTATTGCTCTAAATGGTGAAGTAATGTGTTCTAGTACATGGTAGGGATCCAGAAAATGACAGTTTCCCTTCTTTTACGGAGTGCTTGCTTATGAAAAACTGCCAATTGGCGGACTGTAATGAGTGCCACAGGGAAATGTGATCTTGTTATAGGAACACAGAGAAAGAAAAGATGATTTTAAGCTGGAAAAATTAGCAGGTTTTATGGAAAAGGTAGATTTGAGATGGGTCTTGAAAAATGAATACAATTTTCATATGCAGAAAGGATATCATGGGCAAAGTGATGACGCATCTGAGTATGGTGATTTGGTTTTCTTGGTGAACCCCTGATGTGGATGTCAAGTCTTTCTCCTTGGGCTGGTTAGATTTTCCAGTCAATAGCCTTCCCAGCTTCTGCCTGGAGAGAAGTGCTCTGGCTGTCTGGGTTCTGTAGAGGCCGTGCTGTGGATCTCAGCATACAATGTGCCTATGTTTCTATAGTCCTTCTGAGTTAGGTACAGTACTCCATCAACTGGGCTTGTTTTGCCTTTTTCCAGGGAAGAAATCTCCAGTTGATTGCTGAGGTGGAAAGTTGTCTTTGAGCTTGGAGTGTGGCAGGGGTTTAGGGAACAAATTGCTTTGAACCAATCCTCTTTATTTTAGAACCTCCCTTTATTCCTTTTCCAGAGTGACTGGTACCCTAATTCCTGACTCTTTTGAGCATTTTGTGTTGTAAGTAGAGTCGGTTCTTGGTTTTCCTAATTACTGACTTAGAATTTAGCTTTCAGGTGTGCTCAATTGGTTATTGTTCATTTGTTTTCCTTTCTAGCTTTAGACATCTCATTTTCAATTGTTACCTCTCCTCTTTGCTCTGTCCTTATAGGCTTA